AATTTTAAGTATGTTTCTATTATCATAAACAATTCCATACATCACAAAATGTTGTTTTTCTTCTTGAGAGACTTCACCTTCTTGTATTTTTAATGAAATACTGTTATTTTTATTCAAGTTTATAAGTTGATTGTGGTAATCAAAATTTAATACAATATCTCCTTTAACAGCTTTGCAACGTGATACAACAGAGCTATCTTTAACATTTTCTAAATTATTGTTTATATTTTCAACTACTAAGTTATCTAGTTCTAATTTCATTTGTAAAAAATTCTTGTTAAAAATATATTATAAAAAATATATTCTATTTGTTTGTTAAAAGAAACAAATTATTTATAATATAAATAACGGATATAATTAAATTAAATAAAATTTCTAAAACATAATTAGTTTAAACTTTTATAAAAATTTAATTAATTTTAATTTAATGAAAACAAATAACGAGAGCAGAGAAGAGGCTGTCTTAAGTAAAGCATCTAACTTAATTAATTTAAATAAATATGAAGAATTATATGAATTATTGGTTAATTTACAAACTAAAGGGTGGAAAGAATTATCAACAGCAAGATATACCAAAATACTGAGATTAGTGTTTAATATGATGAACATAGAAGAGAATTACAAAAACATTAAGAATCTAATATTGAAGCTAATAGAATATGAGAAGAGAAACATAATTAAGATTGATTTAAAATGTAAATTAATATTCTTAGAACTAAGAAATAGAAACTATAGAGAATGTCTAGAATTAATTAAAGATACAGTAGCTGTTTTAAAGAAATACGATGACAAAATTAACATCATCAATGTATTTCTGTATGAGTCACGGGCTAATTATGAGTTAAATAATTTCCCTCAGGCTAAAGCTTCATTAACAGCAGCTAGAGCATTAGCTGTATGTTCTGCTACACCACAATCATTACAATCTGAAATTGATTTGTTGAATGGAATGTACTTAGTAGATGATAAATGTTACAATACAGCTATTAACTATTTTATTGAAGTTTTACAACAAACATACAGTAAATCAAGTGATAATCTTATTGGATTAAGATATGTTATTCTTTGTAAGATATTAAATGAGGACTTTAATATGAAAGATATTCTTAACAAGTATCCTAACAAAAACAAAAATGTTAATTTGTTAGTCGAAATAAGTAAAGTAGCTAAAAGTAGAGATGTAAATGAATATCATAGAATATTAGAGAATTCAGAATTGATAAGTGATGTGTTTTTAATTAAACATTTAAGACATTATTATGATGTGTTATTTGATATGAACATTTTAAAGATAGTAGAACCATATTCTCATGTGAAAGTGAGTTTTATTAGCCAGAAACTAAATATTGAACAGAATGTTATTGAAAATAAGTTGAGGGTGATGATTTTAGATAAAAAGCTGAATGGAATTTTAGATCATTTTACAGAGTCTTTGATTGTTTATGATTGTAAAGAAAATAAAAAATCTTTAATTAGTGATTCTATAAGAACCTTTAACAAATTTATTAAATAAAATTTTGTTAGAATTTATTTATTTGCTGATTTAGCTTGAGACTTACTAATGGTGGATCTCATTTCTCTTAACATAATTCTAGACATTTCTCCATCAAATACCAACATAACAGCAGTCTCAATTTCTCTTCTACCGACAGTCTTCTTCTTACCTTTGTGTCCCAATTCTCTAAGATTCTCACCTATCATATACAACATTTTATGTGCTAACTCACAAAATACAGTAAGACCTTGCTTAGTACATGTAACATGGGACTCACCTACTGAATCTCTAATCATTCTTTTAGTTGGTGCTCTAAAGATAGAACTATTAAGTCCATCAGTTTTCCTCCTCTTCTTCTTTTCACCTGGTTGACTTGGTGTACCTACTGCTTTAACTGGTGCTTTTCCTGTGCTCTTGAGTGGTGATGCCATTTTATGGGGTAAAATAAATTTGCATTTTTATAATGTTTGGAGGGAAATGTTACAGAATTTTGTTAATTTGGAGGGAAATTTGGGTTTTCTATGTAAAAATTTCAATTTAACAGAATTTAATGTAATTCAATTTCTCTGGTCATTTTAGGTTTACGCCTAATGCATCTAACCTCATTTCTTCTTACTTTAACTATTCCTGTATGGACTGCACAACTTATACAGTAATAATCCATGATAAAGTTTACTGGGACATCTGTTTTTTGATAAATAGAAGCTGCATCAAGATCAGCATGTGCTGCAAATTCTATTATTGCGTTGTTAGATGACTTAGATACTGCTTTATCTTTAGGTACTTGTGCACCACATTTAATACAAGATACATTTGAAACATTTCCTCTATTATTTCTATTTTTACCGTGATTTGCTCTTTTAACTGGCATGGGTTAAAATTTTTTTAAAATTTTTGTTGTTTATTTTATAAAAATTTTTAAACCCTCAATATCAAATGATTTGCAAGAGTGATCATAGAAGTAAGAACAGAAAAGCCCATTTTAATGCTGATCAGCAAACTAGAAGAATTTTAATGTCATCTAGACTCTCAGATGAACTAAGACAGACTTATCGATTTAAATCATTTCCAATCCACAAAGGTGATACTGTTGATGTTAAAGCTGGTAAGTATAAGGGAAAGACTGGTAAAGTTATATTAGTTTCTAGAAAATCAATGAGAGTTAAGATTGATTCATGTACTATTAATAAATGCACTGGAGGTGTTGCTAATATGCCTATTCACCCATCAAATTTAGTAATAACTGATCTTTCTATTGATGAAAAAAGGCAAGCTGCTCTTGACAAAAGAAAGGAAGTTTACGAAAAAAGTAAAGAATTTTACTCTACTAAATTTTAATAAAGATCTCTGAATAATAATGTTTTTTCTTTCACTATTTTTTCATACTCATTTTGATCTAAATCTTTTTCTTCGGATAAAACATTTCCACTTTCATTGGCCTCGATTAGATGTAAATGAAAATGATTGATTATTTGACCAAAAACATTGTTTTGACAAATATTATAACTGTTCATTCCTAAGAACTGGGCTATCCGCTTTGCTAAAAGTATTGTCTCACTCAAATCATTATCTTTTACTATTGTTAAATGAGGTGAATGTTCTTTAGGAATAATAAGAAAGTGACTGTTACTTCTTGGATATCTATCAAATAAAACAAATACTTTATCAGTTTGATAGATAATATTCTTATTATCTTTTAGTATGTCACAGAATATACAACTTTGTTTCATCTAAAAATTGAGTAAAAAATTTATTAAAACTTTTTAAAGAGATTAATAATTATTTTTAATAAGTTAAAAGTTCTATTAATATTTTAAATTGTTTAAAAATTTTATTAAATATAACATTCTTATCAGATAAACTATTTTAGTCTTTTTTATTAATAAAAATATCACAATCTTTTTCTAAGATAAGTAATATTCCTTTAAAATTTATACTCCATAAACTGATTAATAAAAACAATTTTAAATACTTTTTCAATAAAATTTTTAAACTTTTGACTATAAATTTTAATTAAATCAAACATTTTCATATCATTATTGTTCTATTTAATTTATAAATTTTTTATAAAATTTTTTTATTAATCAAATAAATGACAATCTTAGATAACTTCACTTTAGAATTTATAGCAACCAATCCAAGAAGGAGAGAAATAATTGAAAGACAAACAACATTAGTTAAAAGAATAACCAAAGTATTAAATGTTATAAAAAAAGAACCAAAAGCTGCTATATTTTTAAATAAAGTAACAGAAAAAGAAGCACATAGTTATTTTTCAATAATAAAGTTTCCAATGGATTTAGGAACTGTTTCAAAGAAAGTGCATCTATATAGAAACATTAGTGAATTTAAAAGTGATCTTGATCTTATATGGAATAACTGTTTAAAATATAATGTAACAGGTGAATATTATAGAGATTGTGCATATTCATGTAAAGAATTAGCAGACTCTTTATTGAGTGGAAGACAAAAAGTATATTTTAACAATTTAGAATCAATAAATCAAGAAGGTATACCATTTAGGAATATAATTGGTTTAGAACAGCATATAGCCGAATATTTTCATAGAGTAGGATTTGATGAAATGACAAAAGAAACATTAGAAATATTAACTAGTGCACTGGAATACTACTTATCTACTCATTCAAACAAATTTAAATAAACTAATTATATTTTATTAATATTTTGATATTCAAAGTCTACCAATAAGACATATTTTCCACATCCAATATATAGTTTGTCATCAATTAGACTAAGACAGTTGTTAGAACCAAACCTTATCTTTTCTATATTCTTAATTTCTCCCAGAGATAAATCTTTTAATAGAAATCTTATACAACTATCATTAGGACAAGAGTAAAATAAATGAGTTTTTGTTCCCAAAATACAAGAAGGTGCCTCCTTAAGTGTTTTAACTTCTGTTAACAACTCTAACTTCTTATTTAAAATCTTTACACCTTTATGTGTTAGAATAACAACTTTATCATCACACCATGAATATAATCTAATAAAACTAAATCTGTCATCAAAATCAATATTTTTAATAACTGTTGAATTTTCCGTAAAGATAATCATTTTTCCATTATAATCCAAACCTATCAAAGTGTCATTAAAGATAATGAAATCTTTTAATTTATACTTTACATTACCAACTGGAGTAAGATCTTCATCCAAAATAACTAATTGATCACCTAACATATACAATCTATTTTTAAAGACAATAGCCTTTTTACATCCTCTACATTTATTTTTAATCTCTCTCAAATTAAGATCCGAATCTAATTCATAAACACATTGACCAGTTTCAGTGTAAATTAATAATTTACCTCTGAAATAAACAAGTCCAGAAATCTTAGAGTTAGTTATTTTTTTCTTCAAAATTTCATTAAAAGTATAATCAGTCACATAAAGAATATTAAATGAATCAATAATTACAATAAAATTATTAAAATTATTAATAAATCGTATTTTAAAAGTTGTATCGAATACTTTTTCAGTTGAATTTACAACTAAAACTTCTTCTTTTCTTTTAACTTCTGGTTTGACATTATTGTTATCAAGCCAAGATGCCTTCTTATATTCATGAGTAAACTGTTCAACATCCATACTATCTGACCAAATATAAGACTCGTCATCTGACTCAATAATATCGTTATAACCAAGTAAATTGTCAGAACTACACTCCTCACTTACATATTCACATGAATCATTTAATTCAGAACTGCATTCACTCTCGTTCATTGAAGAATTGTTTGACTTGTCTAAACTCATCAACTTGCTATTTTTACTTTGTATATTTTTGTCATAAGTGGGCAAATCTGGAACATTTGTTTCAGTGTTCTCGGGTGACTTTTTATTGTCTGTTTTAAACTTCTTGACATTATCATTTTCTTCAACCATTAGGAGGGATAAAAATATTTTTAAAAAATAAAATTCAACTAATTTATTTTAACAAACTAACTGGCTTACTTGAAATCACACCAACTGTATTTCTACCGTGACTTGGATGTGTCTTGGTACAAACAAAGTCTCTCAATCTCTTTCCTATCATTTCGGGTTTAATTTCTACTGGAAAATATCCGTTACCGCGATGAATTCCAATTGTTACTCCAATCATTGATGGCAGAATTATTGTTGTTCTTTCTTTAGTTAAAATTGGTTTTGGTTTTTCATCACTCTTTTTAGCTTCTTTAAGATAAGATTCACATTTCTTTATCAATTCATACTCTTCGGTTGAAATTCCTCTTTTTAAGTGTCTTCTAGCTGATGATGGTATCAATTCTGCAAACTCCATTACACTCATTTCTAAAAGTTCTTCTAAACTCTTTCCTTTATATTTAAATGTTATAAAAGCTCTACTCTTTTTAATATCTATTGACATTCTTAAAAGGGTTAAAAATTTTTTACAAAAAGTCTCACAACAGTTTATTCTTCAATTATATAACTATTGATGGTGAAATCTTTAATAAAGTCAAAGTCATCAATTTGATCATCCTTACTAAAGACTTTTGTTATTTTTAGATTAGATACCATATCAGTCTCAAAACTAAGTGATAATGGAAATATTCCACTTGGGTCTCTTTCTGAGTGTTTAATTTCATACATTATTGAATCATCCTTTTTAATTGTTCCACAATTCAATCTTATTTCATCATTAATCTCATCATACCTTCCATCAATTTCTAATCTTGTTAGTTTTTTAGTGTTAAATTGAATATAAAGATTTTTAATATCTTTTGATGCTGTAAATGTCAAAGAATCTACCTTCTGACCATCCTCATTTGATGACCAACAATCAATAGAAATTGGTAATTGACTATGTTTAGTAGTATATTTTACTAAGGGTACTTTTTTATTAGTTTGAACATTCTTATTGACTTTTAATATTTTTTCTTTCAATAATTCTTTATCTAAAAATGGTGAAAACTTAGCATTCTCAATGATATTACAGTACATTATTTTAATATTTTGATAATATTCATCAGTTATTGTTAAATTTAATTCACCTTTTACGCTATTTTCTTTAATAAAGTTTTCACTGCTAATTGTGCAATCAACTGTTTCTTTTAACGAAATTATCACCGGTTTATCTGATGTTAATATCTTAGAAACTGGTTCATTAAAAGAATCAAAGGTATTTTTAAACTTTTCTTTGGTTAATATTTTCTCAATTAATTTGTCTTGATTCCTTTGCCTTTTATATTCTTTTTCTAATTCTTTTCTCTCTTGTTTCCTATGTTCTAACATCAATTCATGTATTTTCTCATCCTGACTATCCATACTTTTTATCATCTGTATATCATCATTTATTGCATAGCCATTATAAAGAATGTTATCAAATGATATTAGAATATCAAATAAATCATCAACTCCAGATGTTCTTATCTTTTCTAAGTAATCATTAACTTCTGATATTGAATGATCCTTTGATATTTGTGCAACTATAAACATTGTATTTGATAAACCTATAGATACATAATTATATAAATCTTTGTATATCACATGTTGTAAAGAACTTATAAACTCACTAAAAATGTAATTTATCTTGCTAATTGATTGAGGTTTCGTTGATCTAAATATTTTTTTATTGTTTTCTATGTCCACTGAAAATAATGAATAAATCATGGGTAAATTTTTAATTATTTAATTTATTAGTTAACCTGGGAATCGAACTGATGATTTTAATTTATTTTTTATTAAAAATTTTTAATTTCTATAGAGCTTTTAAATGGGAGAAAATACAGTTAAGAAAACCAGCAATCAAATAACAATTTATGAGTATGCCCAAGTACTTGGATATAGAGCTGTACAGTTGAGTAATAACTCCAAACCATTGGTAGATACTGAAGGAATGACAGATTGTTTAGAAATTGCTAAGAAGGAGTATAAAGAGGGTAAAATACCATATATTGTAAGAAGAATTCTACCAGACAAGTCTTATGAAGATTGGAATTTATCTGAATTACATACACCAAATAACCTTTAATTAATAAAAAGATCTTTATTTAATAAATGTAGTCTAAAATTACTTTTAGGAAGTGTTTAGTGAAATTAGCTAGTTTATAACATCTGCTTTGATTTCCTCTGTTTCTTACAACAACTCTCATTAATTTTTCTACAATTGGATTATCAATAAATTCTCCTGATGTTATTAATTCATAAACTTCTTCAACTGTATAATCTTTAATGTTATTTAATAATTTAGAGTGGGTGTCTTTATCCAATGTTAATGTCTTTTTAAGTTTATCCACTATGTTGTTATCAATTGGTAATGTTAAATAAGTTATTATAAATCTAACTGGATTTATACTTTCGGTTGGTTTAACGTAATTTTTAAAGTTATAATTTACTAGGTTTAAAGGAGTTTGTTCAGGTTTAAACGGTTTTCTATTAAACATTTCACTGTTGTAGAATATATTTAATGTAATCAAAAGTAAAATTATAGCGAATAAGCCTGCGAATAAATATTTCTTAAACTTTTTCATGGGGAATATAAAATTATAATTTTTAAACATTCTTATTAAAAAATTAATTTGGAATTAAAAAATTTTAATTTAAATAAGTTCAATGTCAAATAAATATTTAATAAATAATTTTAATAAAAACCACAAAATATTGATTTTTTAATTATTTATGTTTCTTTAAAATATTTAACATGTTTTTATTTAAAAAGTATTTTTATAAAAATTAATAATATTTTAATTATTTAAATAAACCAATAACATTAATTTACAGATTAATATTAATAAAGTTAAAAATGAAAATGAAAGTATAAATTAATATTTTATAAGTTTTATCTTAACATTAGAAAGTTTTTCTTCTAAACACTAAAAAAAGAATTTTAACTTAAGAATCATTAAATTGAATAAATTTGTTTAAAATATAATTTTTTATTTATTTAAATGTTTAATTTGTATATCAATAAATTTTAATTTATAGTTAATATTATCTAAAAGATATATAATTTTTGATTAGTAACAACCCTTATAATATAAAACTATTTTTTATTTTTTAAACCATTTATTTAATATAATTACATTTACATAATTTATGTAAGTTTTTAATTTCAAAAGAATATTTTTAAAGTTTTATTTACCTTTTTTATACTATACATCATAAAATTAAAACAATATAATTTTATTAAGATTAATTTTTTTAAAAAACTTTACACGTTTAATTTATATTAATTAATATCAAATAAAAGAACCATTTATTATTAAATGTTATAAAAAATAATAATTAACTTTTCTTAATAAATAGTTTAAATATCAACATGAATTATTTTTAAAATTTTATTCAAATTTTTATTTAATATGTAGTTGATTTCAATTGAATTTTTATTTTCTAATCTGTTTATATTAATAACTTATAAGTTAACAATTTTAAAATTTTTATATCTTCCGGTTATCTTTTCACATTATAAAAGTAAGAAATTTGACTTCTTTGAAATTTATAACATTTACTTTTTTAGTAATATCAAAATCAGTAAAACAAATAAAAACTAGAAGTAGTTTTTTTATTTTAAAATCAAATTTTAATATATAATAATATCCTCTTTTTAATTGATTACTTGGTATTTCAACTTTTTAAATGACTTAATTACTACAATGTAAATATTTCAATTTATTAAATAATTGTGTTATAATATTTTGATTGGTTCTTTTAATTAATATTAAAAAAGTTATTTTAAACAAAAACTTTTATTATTTCATTTAAAATTTGCTACAATCTGGAACAAACGATATATCTATTTCAGAAAATATTTTAAAAGAAAATAAATTACAGTTTCATTGAAGAATCAATTGTAAAAACAACAAAATTTTTAAGAGTAATAGGAATAAGAGTTACCTTGTAATTTTTTAGATTATAATTTATATTTTTTGTACAATCTAATAACAATTTCTAAATTTTTGTTAGTTTATATCTTTCGCACCTTTATTATTAATAAAAAGATAGAAGTTTTTACGAAAAAAAGCAAAATAAATAAGATATCAATTTATTATAAATGATCAAAGCAGTTAAAGTAAATTTTAAAAAATAATATAAAAATAAGAAAATTATGTATATAAAAATTTTAGTAAAACATTTAATAATTTATCTTGAATCATAAAAGATAGTAATTTTTATAAAATGATAATTTAAATAGTATATTTGATCTAAAATTAAATTAAAGATAAGTTGTTACAAAAAAGATAAGAGAAATTATTTATTTAAAGTAAAAATATATTCATCTAATAGATTATAAAATAATCAAATATTTTATAAAATAAAATATAGCGACAAAATGTGCGTATACTAAACTATTTATATTTTAGAGTTTTTAAAAGAATATCTTTATTATTATTTATTTAAAAATACAGTATTGGTCAAAAAAACGTGGACAAGTAAAAAAATGAAAAATATCATCAATAAAGAAATATTATGAAATT